CCAAGGAAGTATTTTAGGTTGCCCAAATCCTTCACCTCAAACTCATTGCTCAGACACCCCTTCAATCTCTTTATTTCCTCCTCATCATCTCCGGTGATGATAATGTCGTCCACATAAACTGCAAGAATGGTGATCTTTCGATTAGAGAGTGAGTGTCTGTAGAACACCGTGTGATCACCATTACATTGACCATACCCCATAGCACGGACAGCACGCCTGAACCTATCAAACCAAGCCCTCGGCGATTGCTTCAGTCCATACAAGGATTTCTTCAGCCTGCATACCTTCCCCGTTGTCAGTGAAGTACCAAAACCTGGTGGTATCTCCATGTACACTTCTTCCTGCAACTCACCATGCAAGAAGGCATTCTTGACATCTAATTGATGCAATTTCCACCCAAAGTTTGCAGCACAGGAAACCAATATCCTTACTGTGTTCATCTTTGCCACTGGAGCAAACATCTCGTCATAGTCAATTCCATAAGTTTGACTATATCCTGTGGCGACCAATCTGGCCTTATACCGTTCCACCTTCCCCTCAGGATTCTGCTTCACTGTATAGATCCACTTACAACTCACTGCTTTCTTTCCTGCCGGCAATGTGGTTAGCACCCACGTCTTATTTTTCCTCAGTGCTTCCAACTCTTCTATCATTGCTTCATGCCACTTCGGATCTTGCTTTGCAATCTTCCAATCCTTTGGGATTGACACAGTTTGAAGAGAGGCAACAAACACTCTATAGGAAGGAGACAAAGCCTCATAAGACACAAAATTTCCAATGTCATGATCATCCAAAAACTCCAGTGGTAAAGCCTTCTCAGCCGCTTCACGTGTCCCCTTTCGCAACGCAATAGGTAGCTCCACTGTGTCAGATGAGCTTGCACCACTGCCTTGCTGCTCCCCCTGCACTGACTGCTCCCCCTGCACTTGTTGCTCCCCCTCATGCACAAGTGGTTGCCGCCGAGAATATACCAGACGAGTGTCAGATGAGTCATGCACCTGTGGCACTTGTGGCTCTCGCCGAGAGTACACTAGGGGGATCTTCTGCCACCGATCTCGAACAGGGAGCTGGAGATTACCAATCTGAATGGAACCCACGGTTGGTTGGACCCGTACCTGCACATCACCATCAGTGAGAGTACCAACCGAAATTGTACCCACAATTGGCTGGACTTGAACCTGCACATCATCATCATCAATGTTAGTGCCCACAGAATCCGCGTGAGTGTGAGATACAGCCTTCTCCCCCTCTTGACCATCTTGCACAGAGTGGAAATGGTCAAGCTCTTGAAACAACACACTTAGATCTGTTGGCTCACCATAAAATGGCTCAGACTCCCTGAAGGTTACGTCCATACTGACAAACCTGCGTTTCTCTGAGGGACACCAACATTTATATCCCTGTTGACTAGAAGAATAGCCCAGAAAAATACACTTCACTGCCCGCGGATCAAGTTTTCCAACAGAAGGACGGTGATCTCGAACAAAACAAGTACTGCCAAACAACTTTGGGGGGACAACAAACTTAGTTTCTCCATATACTAGCTCACACGGAGATTTCATGCTTAGTATTCTTGATGGTGTCCTGTTGATCAAGTATGTGGCTGTCATAACTGCTTCACTCCACAAGAATTTGGGCACATTCATCGTAAACATCAATGACCGGGCAACCTCAAGAATATGCCGATTTTTCCTTTCTGCCACTCCATTCTGAGGAGGGGTGTCTGGGCATGAAGTTTGATGAAGAATACCGTGATCAGACAAGTAAGCCCCAAATGTGTTGTTCACATACTCTGTCCCATTGTCAGTCCTGATCACCTGCACCTGCACCTGAAACTGATTCTTCACCAAGGCATGGAAATTCTGAAAACAGCTAAACACCTCATCTTTGTGACGCATCAAATAAATCCAAGTCATACGAGAATAGCAATCGATGAATGCAACAAAGTATTTCATTCCATTCATTGATACAGCTGGGCTCTTCCATACATCCGAATGAATAAGCATAAAAGGAGATATGCTCCTAAGCCCCTTACTCACATATGAGGCTCGTGTGTGTTTGGCATATTCACAAGCATCACATGTCAACTTGCCCTTGCCTATCCCACACATAACATCCGGAAAGATTCTACTCATCTTATCAAAAGATACATGGCCCATCCTACAGTGATGGATCATCGCCTCCTTCTCCTTGTCCTCCATGGTCGCAGCACACACCAAGTCCGGCTGCACCTCCTGGTCCATGTACCAGAGCCCCCTACGCCTGGTGCCAGTCCCAACCGTCTGACTCGTCTGTCGCTCCTGAATCACGCACCCGAATTTGTCAAGGATCACACGACAGTCAATTTGATCAATTAGAGCACTGAAAGAGACCAAATTGACAGGAAAAGCCGGCACATGTAAAACTGAGGATAGGGAGATGGTCGGAGTGCACTTGACTGTGCCAACCCCCATGACAGGCTGGTTTGTGCCATCAGCAATTTGCATAGTGCACGTGTGAGATGGAGGGTGCTTATTGTAAGACTCAAACATGCAGGATTTACTAGCAACATGCTTAGATGCTCCAGAGTCAAGAACCCACTCTGGAGCACTCTCATTAGAAGCAAGAGATGCCTTTTCCGGATTACCTTCATCAGTAGAGGCCCAGAGAGCAAAAGTCTCCATAGTTAGCATCGTCTGCATCTTTGCCTTTTGACGTCCCAATGTCTCCTGCCACTGCCATGTGAGCCCTCTGATCTCCTGAGTGTCCTGAGTAACCACCTCTGCCCATAGAAGCCTGACCCCTTGAGGTCCCTGAGTATCCACCTCTGCCTCTACTCCTGCCTCTGCCAGTTCCCCCTCTGTTGTATCCCCTGCCTCTGCCACGAGTTGGACAGGCCCACTTCCAGTGACCTATCTCCCCACAGATATGACATTTGTTGGGATCGCTCCACTCCATGCGCTCAGTGACTGCAAATGTCGAAGCCGGCACAGCCTTCATGTCTGCATGCTCAAGAGATAGCCGCACCTCCTCTTGAGACATTGCAGCAATAGCCTCCTCAATAGAGGGCAGAAGAGGTTGGTGCAACAGGGAAGCCCTCCTGCCATGAAAGCAACCTCTAAGACCCTCCAACAGTTTCAGCACACGCCTGCGTGCAATCCACTTGCGCCCTGACTCGATGCAAGCCGCATCATAGAGTTCCAGAGGGTCGCAGTTATCCTGCTCTGCCCACAGAGCCTGCAGCTCTGCCACATATGCCATCACTGACATGTCGTCACCTTGATACAGCCGACTGATCTTCCCCTCAATCTGAGCAATTAGCATGACATTGCCCTTGCCTGAGTACAAAGTGGACAGAGTCGTCCATATCGCAGCGGATGTGGATAGCCCCTCCACAGAGCATCCAATGGGGGGCACTACCGAGTTCAACAACCAGCCAATGAGCACAGAGTTTATGACCTTCCATCTCTTTCCCTCCACAGTAGTCTTGTCTCCTGGTTCAGCAACAACACCCAACAAGTGCCCATCAAGCTCCTTCTGTTCCACAGCCAGCAACGCCCTCCGGGACCAGCTCAGATAATTGGTAGTCCCCTCTAACTTCATGTCCATGGGTGACAGTTCGATCTTCTGAGCCACTTCCTGTCGAGGAACGATGGCCCCAGATTTCGACTCCTCGAGGAACTTAGCTAGCTTCTCGAAAGCCTCAGCAAGGCCTGTTGGCTCACTCATCTTCAGAGACAGGCTCTACACACCCAACAACAACAGCAGCAAGCACAGCCGCACACAGTCCTCTGCAGAATCAGCAGCAACAGTCCGCTGCACACATACAGCAAGGCCCTCTGTTCTTTCTCCCCCTCTGCTCACACTCCGCACGCGCAGCAGCAACAATAAGCAGCACCTTCCTCTTCTTCAATCCCAGCAGCCAGGACACAACGGCAACGAGCAGAGCCGTGCGGACTCGCTCTCTCCCTCCGCGCGAACGACAGCAGCACGCCTCTCCTGCTCTCCACGTTCGCTGTTCCTCCGGCTCTTCTCCTCGTCCTGCGCCACAGCCGCACGCCTCCACGCGCACAGCCGCCGTTGATTTCCCGCTGGCCCGCGCAGCCGCCGTGCGCTTGCCGCCGTGACGCGCAGCCGCACGCGCGCGCTCGCACACAGCCACGTCCGCCCAGATGCGCCGCCGCCTCCCCACCGGACTCCGCCGCCGGCCGGCGACTAGGCCACCGTCGCCGTCGTCCCCAGCACCTCGCCTGCGTCTGATACCATGTTGTGTCTCAGACTCACCTTGTTTTGGCTGTTTCGTATGTGTGTGTGGCGGCTCTCCTGAGAACAGGAGGACTGGATGCCTCCTTCTAGGTCAGTACCTCCACATGGGCTTGGGCCCTAAGTGACAAGGCTTGATGGGCTTGGGCCCATACCGGTTCAACACCTGTTAATCTGTACTAGAAATCAATTGAGTACGCCAGGTTTCAGAAAACCGAACCCATGTTGCAGACCACTAAAAAAGTCAACTTTCCCAGCAAGCCAAAAGTCAACTGTGACATGCATTGCTAAGTTACCGCATGTCACGTGTGAGCTTTGTGGCATGTGGCCATGTGCAGCACTCGAGGGCAATTACATGAACCAACTAACCCAAAGATGTCATTCAGCATTAACGTGTTCACGAGACTTGACTCAGGAATCATCAGATATACTAGAAATAGCTAAACGGACATTCAAGAAAGGGAATGGGATGTATTTTTCACATAACAATAGATAGCACGTTAAGCTACCTGCAACACCCTCATTATAGAGGCGTACGTAGATGGCCTTCCGATTCCAAGTTCCTCCATCTTTTTAATCTGGCATTACAAGGCACGCTGTGAAAATCATAGGTTATAGAACAAACCAATACTAAGGAACCCTTCTTATTTCAGGCATGTGCAATTACAAGAGGAATACCAAGTGAAAAATCCAAACCGTAGGTTATTACTGACCAATGCACCCTCAGAATAACGGGACGGAGGTTTAGTAAAGTGCTGTTCAAGATTCACGTTAATGGGAGACACCAAATCCTTCATCTGAGAAAAAGGACATATGCTATGACATAGTTCAATGATGGCCAGCAATCTGTGGTCACATGAAGAAAAAAATGGGTACAGAAAGGGAATATCAGAGGCCAATCAGCAACTGCTAACCTCTAATTTGGACAAGGCCTCGAAATTATCCTGATGTGCAGTTTCTCCTTCGGGGTTTTCACTGGACCCAGTTGCTTCAGTGTCCTACAAGCAACACATTCTCATTATTTGGTTCTGTAAGCTCATAAAACTGAACACTGGGCACACAGTCATTTTACAAAACACAACCATCTTCTATCCATGTGAAAGCTTAACTATTCACTCCTTAGGGGTTGTTTGGATAACGGGTATTTAGGAAGCTAGTTTTCCTCGATCTCGTTTAGCACCGCAATAAACCCATAGTAATAACGGGTATTTAGGAACAAAGTTAGGTATTTAGGAAGCTAGTTCCCCCCACCCATGTCCACAAAAAGCCAAATCTACAAATGGGTTCAAGGCCTTCTTAATCCAAACATGATTTTCTATGAGTGCATACCTAACTGAATTATATATAAACAAAACCGGTTTTCCGGAAAATCTTCTTAAAACAAGGTTTACTACGTACTTGCTATCCAAACAACCACTTACGGAAAACTAGAAGCTAACGCATAACAGTAAAAATTAGAGATGCTGATGAATCGGCAGAAATTCACGCTTCCAGCAAAGCAGGAAATGGGACATCCTGTGGTGAAAAATACATGACAATCTACGGGGTATTACATGATTACGTACAACACAAAACGCACTATAAAGCAATTTTAATATAGATAAGCTATTCAGTAGATTTACTAGTGAAAACAAGGCATATTTTATTCCCATACATAAGAATACAGAATGCAAAAAGATCAACATTGCATCAGTTGAAGATAAACCTTCAAGCAAGTTCAGTAGAAAAAATCAATAACGTACAGTATTGTTTGTATACTTCACAAATGCACACCATAAATGAGTCGAAACTTCCCCGCAAAAAATGAGTTAGGACATGTTGAATTTGTAGAGGATGTCAAACTAACCAGGAAGAACCAGCTGAAAATGGCCAGTTTTCATAACAGGCCAAAGCCCGGTTTGTCAAAAACAAGACCAGTTGAGAGTTGAGACCATTAAGCACACCCTGATATGCATCCTATGCAGAATAGGTGTATTAGTATTATCATTGTTGCATAAAATGGCTGTTAGATTTAGTTTGGCCCTGATATCCTAAATTATATCCACATCCAACTGAGAACATATTGTCTTCTATGTTCATATCCTAAAAGAATAAAGTGGTGGATCAGACAGATTGTATTTGAGCCATGTCACCCCTAATACACACATACATATATATGCAGAGTTATGAATAGGGTTTGTGGTGGGAACTGGGAAGAGAGGGACAAGGGAAAAGGGAAAAACTCCCTAATTCTGGTTAATTCAACTGAATGGATGCCTCGCGTTTCGAAGAGGGGTAGAAGACCTAACAACTTCAAGTAACAAGAGAAAGGAATCTGGTCATATCTTAAATAATTCGCTTAAGGTCCGTGAAATTAAACAAGGAATCTAATCACATTTATATCTTGCAGCAGGCACTGGGCACCTCCTTTGATGTTGATGTGGACCAGCTCACATTGTAACAGATACAGACCAAATTAAGGTTACAGAGATGATAAAGATGAACACAATTATGCAATCATCCTCATCCCTTGAAACATGAAATGATATCATGAGTGAGATGAATACAACATATTTCCTACTAAATCTACTCATGGGCTGGCCAAAGTAGCATAAAGGAAAGTGGAGAATGCTACTGTCATGTGGGGCCAGCCCTATAGGCGCAAGGGACCTGCACGGGCCGGCCCTGCACCTGCCTAAAAATATGTCCTAGTTTAATTATAGTTTTTTTTAGATTAGGAGTCTAGGTATTAGTTGGAAAGGTTTAGTCCCGTAGAAGGTTACCCTGCCAACACCCAATTGTAATAGGAGTCTGTAATCTGGTCTTGTAATTAGGCTATATATAGCCAGCCCTTGGATCAATAAACGCAAGCAGAAAATAACCTACAACCTCACCTCCTTGCTCCTGCGCCACGGCGCCCCTCTTCAACCCCCTTCTCCAACCATAGGCCGGCGAGGGCCTCGCCCTCGTCCTCCTACAACCCACGACTACAACCTGCGCGGCAATCAGCCAGGCCGTGACAACTTGGTATCAGCTTCCTCGTCGATCCCAGCGGCCATGTCTCCGCCACCGCCGCCGGTGCCCCTGCCGCAAACCCTAGCAGACCTCGCGACCAAACAGCACGAGGATCATGAGGCCGTGGTCGCCACTTTGAACAGCCTCTCGGAGGAGAACCACACCGCTCGGACAGAGCGCGCCGAGGACCGCGCCACCCACCAGTCCATCACCGAGACGCTCAAAACCCTCCAGGGCCAGCTGGCGGACATGTCACAGCAGCAACGTGCACAGAACCTGGCCCTCCTTCGGCTGGAAGGCAAGGGCACGCCTCAATTGGGTTACCGGGCTCCTGCGGCCCTCAAATGCGTCGTCCCACACCGGGGGCCCAGCCGATCTGGCGGATCGGGCTCCGCGCCTCTACAAGATTGATTTTCCCCTCTTTGACGGGGCCAGCGATCCGCGACCATGGCTGACACGCTGCAATCTCTTCTTCCTCGGGCAGCGAACGCCGGAGTCGGATAAGACGTGGCTCGCCTCATACCATCTCACCGATGTCGCCGCATTATGGTATGGCCACCTCGAGACTAAGTTGGGCCAGCGGCCATCCTGGACCGAGTTTCAAAAACTGATAGCCAACCACTTCGGACCGCCGACCCGCGCCAACCCCTTTGGCGAGCTGATCTCCACCCACCGCTCCGGCACCGTGGCGGAATACTCCAAGCGCTTTCTAGAGAATCTTTCTTGGGTGGGCCCCATTGCTGACGACGATGAGCGGGATATCTTCACCAACAACTTGGGCGAACCTATGAAAACTCAGGTCGAGATGCTGAAACCGGCGACTTTGGACGCGGCTATGGACTTAGCAATCTCCTTTGAGCACCTCAATATTGTCACCAGCACCGCGGCCACCCCGGACCGGCCCAGCCGTCCACTCCGCCCCATGGCCGCACCTACTCCGGCCTTACCGGACTCCTCCAACCCCACGCACGCGCTCGTCTTTAAAAGACTCACGCCCGCCGAGATGGATGAACGGCGCGCTAAGGGTCTCTGCTTCTATTGTGACGAGAAGTTCGCGTGGGGCCATCGCTGCAAACAACTGTTCTACATTCAATCCGCCTACGCCGAAGAGGAGCAGTTTGAGGACTTCCAGGAGGCACAAATCTCACTCTTGGCTGTCACTGGAATTCCCACCAGCGACACAATGCAGGTCACTCTTCGCATCGGGGACCGTGACTTGGTCGCCTTGCTTGATTCAGGCAGCACTCATAACTTCATCCACGAAGAGCTGGCCACCATCGTCGGGCTGCCTTTCTCCTCCAATAGTCGCTTGGGAGTCACGGTCGCTAATGGCGATAAGGTGACCTGTCGGGGACTCCTTCAGCAGGCTGCGATCACCATTGACAAGGAGCATTTCGTTGTTGATCTGCATGCCATTCCATTGGGCGGGTTTGACATCGTCCTCGGTACACGATTCCTCAAAACTCTTGGGCCAATTCTCTGGGATTTCACTACGCAGTGGATGTCGTTTTGGCACTCGGATCACCATGTGGAGTGGTCGGGCCTCGGCTCCCTTGGACGGCCTGCCCACCTACATGCGTGCGAAGGCAAGGACCTTCTGGACAGCCCGCTGGCCACTTTCACCGATGTATTCGCCGACCCCCAGGGCCTGCTGCCGCAGCGCGCACATGACCATCATATTCATCTTAATCCCGGGGCACCGCCGGTTGCTGTCCATCCCTACCGCTACCCAACGATTCAAAAAGATGAACTGGAGCGCCAATGTTCGGAGATGCTAGTTCGCGGTCTGATCCGTCCTAGTTCTTCTGCATTTTCATCCCCCGTTCTACTCGTCAGAAAGGCCGACGGGACTTGGCGTTTCTGTATCAACTACCGTGGTCTCAACCTTGTCACCATCAAGGACAAGTTTCCAATTCCCGTTGTCGATGAACTTCTGGATGAACTCAAGGGCGCCCGCTTTTTCACCAAACTGGATCTTCGGTCGGATTACCACCAGGTTCGGATGGCCCCTGAGGATATCCACAAGACGGCATTCCGCACACATGAGGGCCTCTTTGAGTTTGTGGTGATGGCAAGGATTACGAGTCGACGAGTCGACGAGTCGTTCCGAGGTTGAGACTCATAGACTAATCGGACTAGTCTTAGACTAGTGCTGGACTAGTCGACATAGTACTGTAGTACTCAACTACTAATACATAGTAGCAGTATGGAGTAGTATGTAGTAAACTGTACAGCACATTACAGGCCAGCAGTGCTAGCCAACACTAGTCAGGCCCAGCCCAGCCCAGCGCCACACAGCACGCCCCCACCAGCTGGCCCATTTGGGCCCAAGTGGCTAGCCTATACTTAACTCACGTCCCAGCCACTGGAACCCTAAGATCCCAATCGATCCCAACTCAGCCGTCAGTGCCAACACGCACGGGAGCACATGCGCGTGCCCCGCGCCTCCGGCCGCTTCCGCCGGCGAGCTCGCC